GCCTTGTCCCCAGTCCCTCTCCAGCTCTCCTGGAGCCCCTTTAGGCCCTGCCAGGGGCTCTCAGCTCTCCCTGGAGCCTTCTCTTCTCCAGGGGAACCCCCCCAGCTCTCCCAGCCTGGCTCCAGAGCAGAGGGGCTCCAGCCCTGGCAGCATCTCTGGGCTGGCTCCACGATTTTTTTCTCCCTCAGTAGTTCCTCTTTAATTGGGGGATTTTACAGCCCCCGCTCCCCGTGCCGGGCGAGTGTAAAACCTCCCCGAAATGAGCCTTTGACATTCAAGCAGTTTAATGGAGCGGTTTTAGAGCAACAAATTTGCTGCAGGTTTCTCTGTAACGAAACAGAAATGCTTTTAGTGCAGTGTTAGTGGAAATAATTTAATTCCAGAGGATTTCATCGCCGGGTTTATTTTCAGAGCGTCGCTCGCGCGAGCAAACGTTTATCGGAGGGATCCTGGAATGGCCGTAAATGTAAATGGAAATTAGTTTTTTGACTGAGCTAATCCAGTTCCATGCTTTGTGAAGAGCTAATAAATACCCTCTAAGTGGATGCAGAGGTTGATATCCAGAATTTTGTATTTCATTTTTTTATCCTCTGCGAGTTTGACTCGCAGAGAACCTGCAATTTCTTCCTCCAGCCCAGCCCAGCTCAGACATTGATCTTTAATCATTGCTGTTATCAGCACAGGTTGTGTTCTCTGATATTTTAGTGGCTGGGAATAAATCAAACTACCAAAAAAAAAACAACAAACCAAAATCCATTTATTAAAAAACGTGTTTTCTTTTTTTTTTTTTTTAGGTGCGAAGTCGAAAACAGATATCAGGGAAATCCACTCAAAGGAACATGTTACTGTGAGTACCCCTGGGATTGTGTTTGCAGATGAAAAAAAAAATGTGCTTGAAGTTTAAAACACCTCCTTTGAAGCTTGTTTTAGTTGCCTCAGCGTGTGTTTAAAATATGGGGGATTAAGGGAAGGACTGAAAAATAGCTCGAAAAAAAGTTAATTTTTTTCTGCAAAGTGTTGTTTAAAGAGAATGAAAGTGCTGTCCTTGATAAGGTCTGTGTGATGATGATTGGATCGTTTGAACAAAAGTTTTGGATGTTTCTCACGTGACTGGTGATGAAATCTGGTCTAAAATATATTCCCAGAGGATTTTTTTGAGTGCAAAATGCTCTTTATTTTAAATTCTGGCTCCTTGTTAAAACGGGCTTCGAAACTGCCACGTTTCCTCGGAATTGAACAGTTGGATTCCCGTGCAATTCCAGGAGATCCTTTGCCAAGACTCAGATTACTTGATGGAAACTCTCCAGGCTGTGTTTGCAAATATTAGCCATCAGCAGCCTGGCAGGGGCGGGGAGATGGGATCTGGGATTCCGTGAAGTCACGAGCAGCGGGTTTGTGCGGCACAGGAATGATCAACCCGCTGGTTTTTGGCTCGTTTGGGTCCTGCTGGTGTGGCCAAACGAGGCCAAGGGTGGCTCCTTGTGACAATCTCTGTGTAAGGATGACCAGATTCATTGCAGGGGTGGGAAAAACGGGCAAAAAAACCAGGGAAAAGGCAGAATATTCCAACTCCTGCAGGAAGAATCTTGGGCTTTAGGGCTCCAGTCTTGCTTGGTTTCGTTCCTTGGAGATTCCAGACATCGGGTTGTCTGGCTTTCTCTAACCACAAGGGATGTCCAGGAGGCAGTGAGAGGAAAAACAGCACCTGGTGTATAATTTCCTGTTCCTCATGGCTTGGAGTGTTCCTGCCACGGCCTCGGGAATATGGGCAAGTCAGAACATGGTGTTTTAATAAAGGGAAGAGACTGGTGGATACATCCCCTAAATTGTTGGTAAACATGAGCATGGAAGGACATCCAGGCAGACAAAAAAAACTGCCCCTGGAATGCCTGGGTGGAATGAATTCCAGACAAGATAGGAGCTGAGTCCATCAACAACCAGCTGCTCTCTGGAAATCCTCCTAGTGAAGTCCACTGATGCAGAGGAACTTGTCATGGGGGGGACTTTGTCCCCTCCCAAGTGGGAATAGCACATCTCCTTGATTTTCCCGCTATTCCTTCGGATCATGGAGGTGCTGCAGGCTGCAAAAGTCACTATCTTGGCGTGTTTTTTACAATGTTTAGGCGTGAACATTGGTTTTTTTACACTATTTAAATGGTTTTTGCAGTATTTAGGGATGAGCTTCTGTTTAGACCAGCTGTTGTCTGGCAAACCTAAACCACCCCTTTCCCCTTCAGGCTCAGCTTGGGGGTTTTTTTTGTCCCCTGTGTGGGATCCCACACAGGCTGGGGGTGGTTCCTAACAACGTGCTGACTCCTGGTTGTCCAAAAATCCCTTCATGCCTCGCTCTGCCGGCGTTGTTTCATTCCAGGGGGTGGGATAACTCTCCCTGTGTCCCTTACAGATACCCTCCTCATCGACTATCAGTTCACCTTCAGCCTGTCCCAGGAGGACGATCGTTATTACACCGCAATCAACTTCGTGGCCACCCCCGAAGAGGTAACATCCTCCACCCTCCCTCCCAGCTTCCTCATCCCTAGGGGTGTCCTCTGCTCTCCTCTTGGCCCCGGGCCTTGCCTTGGCCTGTGCAAGTCCCAAATTTCCGTGGGAAAATTTCGTAAGGAGCCACGGTTCGTTCTTTTCCAGCTGTGTGAACAGCCTTTGAGCCACTCAGGTTTTGTGGAATTACAGAATCATGGAATGGTTTGGGTTGGAAGGGACCTTGAAGGCCGTCTTGTTCCCATGGGCAGGGACACTTCCCACTATCCCAAGTTGCTCCAACCTGGCCTTGGACACTTCCAGGGATCCAGGGGCAGCCACAGCTTCTCTGGGAAATCCATTCCAGGGCCTCCCCACCCTCACAACCAGCAATTCCTTCCCAATACCCCATTTAAATCTTCACTTTTCCACTATGAAGCCATTCCCTGTGTCCTGTCCCTCCATGCCTTGTCCCCAGTCCCTCTCCAGCTCTCCTGGAGCCCCTTTAAGGCCCTGCCAGGGGCTCTCAGCTCTCCCTGGAGCCTTCTCTTCTCCAGCTCTCCCAGCCTGGCTCCAGAGCTGAGATGCTTTCCTTGTTTTCACCCCAAATCTTGTGTTTCAGTTCTTCCTGTCACTTTTTTTTTGCACTTGTTTTATTCTTTCTCATGTTTTCCCTGGGGAGGAGAATACTCCTTTCAGCAAATACACTCATTTAGTTTTATTGCTTGATGTATTTTCTTCAGGTAAATAGCAAAGTCCAAGATAATTTTTTTTGTAGCAAAGGTTTGTGAGGGATCTGTGCAGTGCAACTGCTTATCCTAAAATCCTAAAAAATTTCTTTTTTTTTGTTTCCTTCCTGCAGCAAAACAGAGACCTGGACATGTTCATCAACGCATCCAAAAACTTCAACCTCAACATTACTTGGTCCACAAGTTTTGCAGGTAAAATGAGCCTGATCTTGGCAGCTTGTTTCAGTTATCAGTTTCTGACAAATGCAAATTTAATTGGGAAAACATTTAATTTTTTTTTTAACCTCTGTACTTGATAAATAATGTTCTGAAAGGCTGGGCTTAAGGAGGAGGTGAAATGTTTAAAAAAAACTATGTTTGTCATGTTAGTAGTGCGTTTTGGAAACATAAAAAGGTGCAGATTTGATTTTTAATGCTTCAGCATTTTGGCACGCAGTGATTTTGGTGTTGCAGTGCAGCTAAAGAGCAGAATTTCTGAAGGAATAGTTAACTTTTTACCCTTAGAACTCAGGCTGATTTGTCCTTTTTTTTTTTTGGTTATTTTAAATACCCATCCAAACTTTTTTCCTTCCTCCTTCCCGAACCAGCTGGCACACAGGCTGGGGAGGAGATTCCAGTCGTTTCCAGAACCAACATCAAAGAGTACAAGGACAGTTTCTCCAACGAGAAGTTCGATTTCCGCAACAACCCCAACATCACGTTCTTTGTGTACGTCAGCAACTTCACCTGGCCCATAAAAATCCAGGTGAGAGCTGGTCATCATTTATGTGTGATTCTTTAAAAGTGTCTTTTGTTTTCCTTTCTGGTGACACTTTGCTGTGCTCTGTGAGTCGTCCAAGCTGGGCCATCCCAGCAGACAGAGTTGGATGTTCTGGATATAAGAGGGGAAAGGTGTGAGGCATCTTCTGGTGCTGCCTCAGCCCAGGGGGGTCTGAAAATGTGCTGGGAAATAAAATGAGGTGCTCAGTTACTGACAGGTTTAACAAGGTGAGTGTGGAGATACCGATGCTGAGTAGAAAGAGGGAGGATGTTAAAAACCAAGCCTGGAATGTGGAGGCAGAGGAAAAGCAAATATATCAGCTCTCTGTGTGCTCAGAGTGATGTGGGGCTGCTCTGAAGGACAAAAACCCTGCTGGGTCTGGGAATGGGTTGGGTGGGAAGGGACCTTAAGGACCACCCAGCGCCACCCCCTGCCCTGGGCAGGGACACCTCCCACTGGCCCAGGGTGCTCCAAGCCCCGTCCAGCTTTGAAAACCTCCAGGGGAGGGGAATTCACAGAGATCAGATAAAGCCTGGCGTGTTTGAATTCTTATTTAAGAAGCTTGATCAAATAGAGGAACCCAAATTCTTCCATCTTCACCCTTGCCCAGCCAATTGGGATGTGAAAGCTGAGACTTCACTTTGAAGTTCTTGTTGTTTGTGACATTCAGTCCCTGGTAATACTGAGCAAGGGCATGAGATCCACCTGGAAAAAAAAACCCCTCCTCGAGCTGTAATGATATTTTTCAAGTCATTCCCTTAATTTTTAAAAATACATCAGGAATACTTGTGGAATTCCTGCGTCACCTTCTGCTGAAGACAGAGGGTTTTAAGTGTGCAGGAAACTTGGTGTTGCTGATGGCAGGCTGTGGATTTGAGAGGCTGACTTTGGACTGCTTTGGGCTTCTTCTTAATGCCGTTTAACAGTTTTGATAATCATTTGCCAGCTGGAGAGTTTTTATTTTACAAATTGTTGAAGTCTTTTGGTTTATTTTCAAGTCCTGATTTTTAGATGTGGAGGAGCTGGCAAGAGCTGCAGGGTCAAACCTTGGTGTCACTGGATACTCAAGCAGCAAGTGCTGAACCTCATTTTCATTGAAAGACTCTTGTAGTAGGGGAAGTAAAACCTGTGTATAAAGGCTGGCACTTGTGTGGTGATTTATTTAAATATTTGAGCTGCTCTTTTATCAAATTCACCGTCACAGGAGTCAGAAAAAAAAATATGTTTTATTTAACTTATTTTGACTGATAGTTGATTTTCCACAATCAGTGCTGAACAGAATCTTACCCTGATTTATTACTTTGCTATTTCTTGCTGCAGAACTGTGTGTTAATACTTTGTGTCCTGTCCCTAAAGCTCTCCTGGGTTTACTCTGCTCTCCATCCACCTGCACTGACAGGGAATTTAAGGCTTTTCCTGTGCCAGTGTTGTCACTGAGCTTAAACGTCCCCTCCACCTCCTCATTTGGCAGCTCCAACTCCTGCTTTCCCTGGATGAATTTGGACAGGTCATATCCTCTCCAAACCCTCAGTGTTTGTTTGTTGGCTAAAGCAGGACAAACCCTCCTGGTCTTTTCCTGTGGAGCAGGTTATTCAGGTTCACTTCCCTCCTCTGTTTCCCTTCTCTGCTTCCAGGTATTTGTCTCACTTGTACAGTTTTGGTCACGGGGAATCAGGATCTGATCAAGGCCAACCTGGCCTTGGACACTTCCAGGGATCCAGGGGCAGCCAAAGCTTCTCTGGGAAATCCATTCCAGCTCCTCACAAGAAAGAATCCCTTCCAAATATCCCATCTCTCCCTTCCCTCTGGCAGTTTGAAGCCATTCCCTGTGTGCTGTCCCTCCATGCCTTGTCCCCAGTCCCTCTCCAGCTCTCCTGGAGCCCCTTTAGGCCCTGCCAGGGGCTCTCAGCTCTCCCTGGAGCCTTCTCTTCTCCAGGGGAACCCCCCCAGCTCTCCCAGCCTGGCTCCAGAGCAGAGGGGCTCCAGCCCTGGCAGCATCTC